CACTGCACCACCAGAGAGGAGGTCGCCACAGCACCACCAGAGAGGAGATCGCCACAGTGCCAGCAGAGAGGAGATCGCCCTTGCACCACCAGAGAGGAGATCGCCACTGCACCACCAGAGAGGAGATTGGCACAGCACCACCAGAGAGGAGATCGCCACTGCACCACCAGAGAGGAGATCACCACAGCACCACCAGAGAGGAGATCGCCTCAGCACCACCAGAGAGGAGATCGCCAAAGCACCACCAGATAGGAGATCGCCCCTGCACCACCAGAGAGGAGATCGCCCCTACACCACCAGAGGGGAGATCTCCTGTTCTTTAAACGGTTACCACCAGAAATAATATCAATTGTAAAAAAGTAATTAGGTGGTGGTGTACAAATACGTTGTCTGGATGCACAAAATATGTAGATCTGGGACTGGTAACAAGACATTTCTATGCAATCAGGAAATTAAAAATAATAGGGATGACGTTGGTGATGGCTATGATGATAATGGTATTAATGCTAATAAATAATACTTATAATGATAATGACAATAAAATTTTATACTAATAATTATGATAACGATAATTATCATCATAATAACAATAAAAAATACTTATAATTATGATAATAATAATGATAATAATACATTATACTGATGCTTATGTTAATAGTAATAATAATAAATTATACCTTTAATTATGATAATAATTATTATTATAATAATAACAAATTATACAATAATTATGATACTAATATCAATAAAAAGAAGAGGATGATCAATCAAAAACTCTATTATGATAATTTGTATTGATAAAAAATAATTATAAATTAAATTATCAATTTGCTAAGGACGTTTATAGACCGGTTGTCCTCTCTCACTTATGTTCAATCTTAACTTAAACTAAATGTTCAGTCTTCACTTAGACTAAATGTTCAATCTTCAATAAGACTATATGTTCAATCTTCACTTAAAACTAATTGTTCAATCTTCACATAGACTAAATGTTCAATCTTCACATAGACTAAATGTTCAATCTTCACTTAGACTAAATGTTCAGTCTTCACATAGACTAATTGTTCAATCTTTACTAAGACTAAATGTTCAATCTTTACTCAGACTAAATGTTCAGTCTTCACATGGACTGTATGTTCACTCTTCACTTCGACTAAATGTTCAATCTTTGATTTGAATTAATCACAATGTCCCGTAAAATATTGGGTGATGCTCTATGGTTTCAAATGCAAAAAATGCAGTTCCTTATATATAAAAACATATTTATATATATTTTTTTTTTTGGGGGGTGGTATTTTTTTTAAATTTTGGGGAATTTAAAAAAAATAATAATAAGGCACTGGATTGCACTATACTTTGTTCTGCACAAAACAATTGCGCGCATATCCGGTTGATGGTGGTAGGTGTATTCGCCATAATCTTTGTATATTATTCATTGGCAAGCTATTATCAAGTCTGAATTAGTTTTTAGGCTTTTATTTTCTTGTTTTTATTAGACTATTATTTTTGTTTCTTTTGTATGTAGATAATTATTATCGTCTACAACTCTGACGTTCCGGAGATATAAATCAAGTCCTATAAATAATGAGATTCTCTAACCACTCCTCCCGCTTTATTTACCGATTTGACGATTAAAATAGTGGGAATAATTTATTATATTGCATGCATTAACTTCTTTTCCTGTAACAGCGAAATAGGGCATTACCTTTTCTAGTGGCGTTGGTTTAACCTTCTGTGGGTATGCCTAATTAACACCCGTTACCATATTATTATTATTATTATTATTATTATTATTATTATTATTATTATTATTATTATTATAACTGGTTTTATATGGCGTAGTACCACAGCCTAGGGCTGAACTCACCACGATGTACATACAATTTCACAAACATAATGAAAAACTTTAAAAATCAATTATCATACATTAATTAAAGAAAAGAAAACAAATGTAGATTTAAAACTATTTCCAAGTCATGGCGTGGACGACACCCAGTAGCATCGTTTTTCGGTCAGAGGTTGGGACTAGTCAGAACTGTCTAAAAGTACAGAAACCATTACATGATCCTATGACAACACAATTATAGTATAGAAGTAATCCGATTTTCCGCAATATAGAAATAATATCTGGGCGATGTGGAAATATGTCCTTCGGCGATGTAGAAATAGCCACCAAGCGATATAGAATTAACAACCTGCGACGTAGAAATAATTACCTCTTAGAGACATAGGAAAAAAACGTACCGATATCAAAAAAAATTACCCCCAGCGATATAGAAATAAATCTCAGCAATTTAGAAATAACCCTTTAGTGATATATAAATAATACGCCAGCTATAGAGAAATAACCCTAAAGGATACACATAACAAGAATGATCTATATAGGAAAACAATCCTTTAGTCTCGACACATGCTGGATACGGTTTAAAGGAGATGGTAGGATGGAAATGGGTCACAGAGATTGGTTTTAGTTTTTCAGACCCAGCGGAAATATTTTATTTAGCGATAGTTTGTTACTTTAAAACTACGTCTTTTGATATGTGCAAGAAGGTTACCTAAAACTTAAAGCCATCAATTCATTATAATATTTACGCTTTGCACGAATTCCGCAACATACCCACGCCCCATCTTTAAACACATAAAAAATGCAAACCTAAATATTTTAAACATATTTTTATATTAATAACATCCATTAGATTGCTCAGGCGAAATCTAGGATAAAAACTGCGTGCAAGGGACCAAAGTTGCACCTGCTGAGATCAAGCGAACAGAACGGTCCGTAGACGCAGCTTTTCTTCTCACAACAACAGCAAAATGAAAAGTTCGCTAAATCAAATCTTTCGCAGAGTAGGTTGTGGAAAATACACGCTTCTGGCCCTGGTGGCCACCACCTTGACTTTCATCTACGTCATCATATTTTTTATCCCAGCTCGCAACGCCATCTTCCGTGCTTCCATTGAGTACGCCTGGTCGGACATTCGGACCTCCGACCTTATCAGGATCCAGTACGGTAAACAGGTCGTTCCGGAGGGAATGCCGCTACACGCTTTTTGCCCAGCTGCCCGCAAGCCTCGACTCAACAAAAGTGACGTCGACACAACGGTTATTCTGAACTACAATTCTTTGCAAAGTCCGGAAGTTATAACGCGTGTTCTCGAAAACGGTCACGGGCGATTCTTGCCCGTTCTAAATCTCAGTCAGAAGCTCAATATCCTGTACTTGTATAGAGTTTTATCTGCAGCACTGGACTCTGTGGGCGTGAAGCATTTCTTGATGGACGGCTCTCTGCTGGGGTTGCACAGGCACGGGGGGATCATCCCGTGGGACGATGACTTGGACGTATCGGTCAGCCTGGACGCCTGGGAACTCGTCCAGCAGTCGCTGGCCTGTGTGGAAGGGTTTACGCTGAACAAACGCAGGGAGGGCCACTGGAAGTTCCACTACAATACCGGCTACTATCCGTTCGTGGACATCTTCTTCTACAGAATGGACGAAACCTATGTGTGGGCCGCCTTGGAATCGGCTCGAAAAACTTTCATTTACCCCACGAAATTGGTATTCCCTTTGGGTGAGTCCATTTTTGAGGGGATGAAGGTTCCAGTGCCTAATGATAGTCTGCGCATAACAAGAAGAATTTATGAATACCATGTATGCGATGCATACTCATTACATATGGAACGTAACGTGAGCTTCTCTGACGCTGATTCTAAAGGATATTCCATAACTAGTTTGCCATGCCATAACATTTCCTACATGTATACGTTTTACAATATTTAATAGTCTTTAGCATCCTTTCTTTGCCCAAGTTTAGTTGTTGTTTTTTTTTTAATATTTGATAACTCTGTATTTGCATCAATATTTATTTACCTCATCATGTGTTGGCCTCATTTATTTATTTGAGTCAATATTTATTGATATCATTTATTTATTTGTGTCAATATTTATTTGTCACATTTTTTATTAGTCTCAATAATTGTAACTGTCTCGGGAATTTTTTTCTCAATCTGTATTGGTCTTGGTTACCGGAAATTTGTTTGAAAGAAATTTCATCGACGGAAAATTGATCTACGGAAATTTGATTGAACGGAAATTTGGTTTTACTATAAAATAGAGTGTGTTCAAAAAAGAAATTTGACGCAAAATTTAAACGTGTGGCTGAAAAAAATTATAGGACCCAATTTCCGTTGGATCAAATTTCCGGCGATCAATTTTCCGTCGACGAAATTTCTTTTAAACAAATTTACGGATTCGATTTGTCTCACTCTGTATTTTTTTCGCATTATTTGACTCGTTATCATGTGTCTCAACTATTTTAGTTGTCTAAATATTTGTTTGTCTCAATTTTTGTCTCGAAATTTATTTTTCTCAATATTTATTTGACTCATCATTTATTTGTTTCCATATCTTTTTGACTCAGTATTCCTTTGTCTCAATATTTGTCTCAAGATGTATTTGTCTCAATAATAATTTGTCTTAATATCTATTTGTAAAGAAATATGACGGTTTCAGAATCTTAGTTCATCAAGGCTTGGTATTACTTTAGAGTAGTGAACGCAACGTTCCGCAACCGTGTGTACATAGCGTCAGCTTGTTTCGTGAGTTACCTCCCCGAATGGATCTTTTTTCAAACACCATTTTTAATTTAGGCGCAGTAGATGTGTGTGTAGCATCGTTTGGTTAAACTGTCTTCTTTTTCCGCAAATACGAAGCACACGCTATAGTTTAAATCATAATACTTGCATCTAGTTCTAACGTTGATTGAATCTTAAATGGATTGTTTATAATTGAATGTTCTTCATTTTTGTTTTTAGAATTCTAGTGCCAATAAAGTCCTATTTTTCCTTTCAACTTCAACATAGTCATTTATGAGAATTTATTTGTTCCTTCTTTTTATAAATTTAGTTTACTATAGCTTAAAATGTTATACTTTCAATTGGTTTTTACTATTATGATTTGTTTTATAATACTATAACTTGAGTTATAAATGTGTGACTTGGGTTTTATTACTATGACTCGGTTTATAAAACCATGATTTGTGTTGTATTACTATGACGTGGGTTATAATACCATGACTTGGGTTATAATACCATGACTTGGTATATAATTAAGTGATTCAGGTTAAAATTCTTATGACATGGTATATGACACTATGACTTGGTGTATACTATGGCGTAATATTTGTTACTTTAACTTGGTTTATAATACTTTGACTTGATATTTGACACTATGATTTGGTATATACAACGACTTGGTATATAATACAGTGACTTAATATAGGATACTCTGACTTTATGTAGACAATGAGTTGGTAGATGATACTCTGACTTGAATTTCGACTTGAATATAATACCTCTACTGTGTATGTAATATGGATGGCAGCTCACCTGTAAGAAGGAAAACTCTGAATTCAATCCCGGAGATGGAGTCCCGTAGGCGGATCAAATGAACACATTGAGACTTCCTGCAACTCCTGTGACGCTGCTGGTACCTAGCTTTATCATTCTGACATGATATTACCCTGGGCTATCCGGATGTGTGGACGGAGGCGAGACACTGTCTATGGAACCATGTCATCGTCATAAAGAAACATTCCAGAGACTGAGAAGTCGCCCTGTGAAGTCTACACCATCGTCACATTGTGACGTACGTAGGCTATATATAATACTATGACTTGGTATATCATTTTATTGGTTGGTATATAATAATATTACTAGTATATGATACTATAACTGGATCTAGAATACTCTGGAATTACGTCTTTTTTTTTTTCTATTGTGAATGTCCAATGAAAAAAGTTTTTAAAAAATGGATTAAAGCTAAATATCCCCAAAACCCCCTTACTCAACCCCACAAGGTTAGATCATAACTCGATGTCAATCGGTGACACAAGTGAGGTTCCCACAAGGGGGGGGGGGTCTGATTTCTTATTTGAAAATGGTCCAATAAAGCGGTGGTCCGATGCGACCCTTCCTTGACCCCACGCAAGCGTCCAGGTAATTTTAATTGCAACGATAAATATCCCCAAAACCCCCTTACTCAACCCCACAAGGTTAGATCATAACTCGATGTCAATCGGTGACACAAGTGAGGTTCCCACAAGGGGGGGGGGGGGTCTGATTTCTTATTTGAAAATGGTCCAATAAAGCGGTGGTCCGATGCGACCCTTCCTTGACCCCAGGCAAGCGTCCAGGTAATTTTAATTGCAACGCTTAGATCAATAGATTCGCTAGTTAAATAATTTTCTGGGTTAAGAGTAAATTGTTTTGAATTAAGTTGTTTGTTGTTTTTTTTTCTTTAATTCAGGACGTCAAACATCTCTTTTATAAACATTACGCGTGTGGTCTAACTGCTTCCATTTTCGGATGGCGCGCAAAATATAATTTCCGATAATTACACTAAATGATTTTTTTTTTAAACACAACTGCGTTTGGTGCGTTATATTTTATTAACTTTTCGGAAAATGAAATCATCTCAATCATTTTAAATATGGTGTAATAAATATACCGTTTAAACGTGGTCGGAACATCACTATATTAAAAGAGTTCATGGGCGTGAAATAAGAAGTGTGTAGTGACGTACTGTGGGGGGGAAGGGGTGGAGCAAAAATTGGGAAATTATAAATGTGCGTTACTTGAGTTCATGTTTTGTCAAATAACTTTAGTAGATGGGAAGCTCACGTCTTTTCGTATACAGTAGCCTTCAATTTCTAAAATGTATTAATTTTTTTAATGTCTCCCAAGTTATAGAAATGTGCGCACCAACAGGAATCTTGATTATTCAAAATAAAATACGTAAAGTTATATTATTTATACTTCATTGAAAAAAATATCAGAATATAAAGATTGCAAGTGTCTGAAATGAAAGGTCTGAAATGTGTGTGAAAAGCTTATAACCAGAGACTGTGTGTGCTTTAGAGAAATTTACAACGTTAAATATATACAATTAGTAATGGGAAAATTTATGTTTATTTTGTTAAATGTACGCAATGCACGTTGCTCACTTAACTGTGTCTTTTGCCCTGAATTTTTTTGTCCACGGCCGCCATCTTTGTTGCCACAAGGGCAAACATGCCAAGGCAACAAAAACCGGTGGCCGTGTAAAATTCTTAGTAGTGCACAAATACGTCGGCTAAAATGGAGTGGGGGAAATGAAGAGAATGTGATCCGTCGATTAGTTAACGAAAGCAAGGACAATAAATAAGTTCATCGGAATATAATTTTTTTTTTTTAATTAAAAACATACGAATAAATAGAGTGTATTTTTTAAACGTGTGTTGCTTAAAAATGACAACACTAAACACTCGTTTGCCTCTATTATGCTTGCGCTTGTCAAATTGTCACTGGTCTGTCACCACAATTTTACCCACTCCGCATAGTCTTTCTAGAACCCTCTCAATCCCAAGAACTAAAACTAAGACCATCGGTGAACGCTCCTTCTGCTTCCATGGGCCCACGTTCTGGAACCAGCTCCCCTTCCATATACGTCATAGTGAAACCTCGTCCATTTTCAAAAAGTCCCTTAACACTCATCTGTTTAGGTCCGCCTATGACCTGTGATGCACCCTCCTTGTCCTACCTCATTTTCTGTTTCGGGTTGATCCTGAAGTGTCAAAGTGTCCTCGTTTTATAGCCATTTTCATTGTTTCTATAGAATAGTAATTACTATCCTAGTGTCTCATTTGTATTTACTTAGTTTACATGTTTTAATAATTGTAAAGCGCTTAGAGCTTTATGACAAGCGCTATATAAAAATGCCTAAATAAATAAATAAATAAATAAATATATATATAATATATATTTATATATATATATATATATATATAAAATTAGTAACATTTTGTTATTTCCAAGAAAAAAATATGCCAAGAATTCAATTTTTTATATTTTTTTTAGTGTTCATTAAAATGTAACGTATATCTAACGTATTGTATTCAAGTGTTGCAATGTCGTGTCCATGCTATGGCGATGGTTCGATCATCCTTCTTTGCCTTTAGCCCACTTAAAGGCAGCCCAGGTTTTCGTGTTAGGCATTGATTCGTTTCACGGTTTGTATTTTCTTGCATAATCTGAGGTCTTATAGGTGTTCTTGATTTTAAAAAGTAATGGCATTTTTTTAGTCATCTTTAATGACAATCGATTTTTTTTTTAAATTTTCTCTCGAGTCCCAAGATACAGGAGAGGACTTAAATCTTAATGGCATGACCTCAATACACCGCGATGCTACAGACAACCGACGAGGACATTGATCTTTCTTGGTGCACAAACGTTGACACTTACTTCTAGGCAAATCAACCACATACACCTTAATACATAAACAGAGATGATACCCCCCGTCATCAACTATAATAAATAACTCGGACCGCTTAACAACAAGCTGGTTCAGAGCAGTCATCTGCACTACCTACCTGTGTACATGACCCAATCAGCCCAAACTGGAACACGGGATCAAGTTGAAAAATGAAGAGACAGTCGAAAACGATTATAACAAACACCCTGCGGAGAACCTGCCTTGGAAAAATTAGATTCTCGGCACTAATGACATTTGCAGTGATATTTACTTACTCGGCGATGTTCGTAATTTCCGTCCGCAATATAATTTTCTATCCAGCCATTGAGTTCGCTTGGCGTAACGTTGGGACCTCCGACCTCATCAGGATTCATTACGGTAACGAAATAACTCTTGTTGGAATTGTATCCGTTGTTTCGTGTCCAGTTTTTGAAAAACCAAAGTTCAACAAAAGTGGCATCGAAACCTGGACAATTTTAACGTACAGTCGT